TATATATATATATATATATATATATATATATATATATATATATATATAAGAAAAGTTTAAGGCACATACTAAGCACGACCCAAAGGAGGGTACTTTGGGTATTCTTTTACTGTTATCTAATGAATATTGTGCTGATGACCAAAAAAAGTAAGTATAATCGTATAAATGGGTGGATTTTCAATTTACAAATCATGAAAAAAAAAGAACATAGAAGTATGTTGTTATAATCAACAAATAAATGAAAGCCCGTTGCAATTTCATGATATGATTTTTTCACCTTATGGATAGATATCAACATCATTTGTGGTGGCTATGGATATTGGGTATTCAAGGTTTTTTCCAGTTGTTCCTTGGTTGCTCATTGATCTTTATTGCCACCTTGCAACAACATGTGCAGTGTCATATCAACCTACAGATCAAGCATAACTGCATAACAGTCGGAACAGAAACAAACAGGAAAGTATGTTACTTGATTGCATGAAAAAAAAATTAAACCCTTCGGAACTTATATATAGGAGAATTACCAACGTGACCAAAAATCCATAGATTATATATGTCACAATGCTAAAGTCAAAAGTATAAGTTTTTTGTGGTAATACCCAAGCAAGACTGTTGCTCATTACATAAAAATAACAATAAAATACGCAAATTAAATAGTTAATGAAAGAAAAAAGATTAAAAGAATGTAATTAACAAACCATCCATCCACGTGGCCCTTCTACACCATCTTTTATAGTTTTAGTGATTATGTGCTTTCTTATTTTTGTTGCAAGCAACATGCATTGCACATGTCAAACCCTTTACAGATCGCACCAGTTTGCAGTCTCTTCATCTTCAGTTGTGGATTTTCTAGGTTTCACAAGTAGCTTTTTTAATAATGATGGTGTTCAATTTTAAATGATCGCTCAAATTGCTCTCCGTCTTTTTCTTCTTTTGGTTTTGTTAATACTTATACTTAGAACGAGTTGTCAAATTCTTTGTTTAAATTTTTTTTTTATCAATGTCTTCAAAATTTTAGATCTTAGAAAATTTAGATTTTGATAGAGTCAAAGTGCATTCCAAACGCAAAATCAACAAGTCGAGCATTTAACAATCTCTCCATTTGAGCGGTTATATAATATATATTGTGATTCTTTTGATGTTCCTCGTGTAGTTATTTCCCCTTATCATATTTTAGTTATTTAGGTAGATGGCAAAGAATCTAATGATCATACATGAAGAATGTTTGAAGGTATATATTTTTGCCTCAATTGAAGGACTAAGTAAATCTGCTTCTTATTTATTTTATTCATAAGACTTGCCAGATTATTAGACTTGGCATTTCCCTTTAGTAAGATGATCTACAATTCGGATAAATCTATGATTTACAATCATGTGATCTGAGCTCTTCCTAATGACAGTCCAGGTGCTTGCAGGAACAACATAACATTCTGAATATGGGTAGGAACATTTTTGGCTGAACTTGGTCAACCCCTTATAATAATCAGCTATCATTGAAATCATCGGATGTTTAGAAGTACAGTTAGGTGCTGTTTGTTTTTCTATAAAAACCTCTTCAAACCATTTATTGCTGCACGGCGCAGCACACGCGCAGCACTTTCCCTCAAGCAGCAGTTTGTTTTTTGGAAGGCTTCAGACTACAAAATCTCTGCGCGTGTGCTGCGTGGCGCAGCACTTGACTTGCCTCTTCTAACCTCTTCAGCTTTCATTTTTTCTAAGTGTTTTTTTAAGAATTTTTGTATAACTTTTTTTTTAACTTTTTTTTTAAATTTTGATTTTCTTAAATTTTTATTTACGGATGTGATACAATTTATTTTTATAATTTCCACGATTTTTTTTAACTTGATTTTTTTAATTTTTTTTTACCCTTCTATTAATAATATTTTCAATTTCAGTTGCATCTTTTTTAACGTGTGTAATTTTTTACGAACTTTGTAGACATCGTCTGCAATACTTTCTTAATTTTTTTATTATTTTTATTTTTAATGTTTTTTTAAATTAGTTTTTTTTACTAGAATAAAACTATTAGCTTCTTTTACATTTTTTTAAGTTTTTTTTAAAAAAAAAGTTTTATATTTTTGTTTTTTTACATGTTCTTTTTATTATTATTTCAATGTTTTAATACTAG